GTGTGTGTGTGTGTGTGAGAGAGAGAGTGTGTGTGTGTGTGCGCGGTTACATTCCTATGTGAGTATTTCACAAGTATGGACATACTGAAACAAGTTTTGATATTTGCATTTGATATATTGGGTATTGATATCAGTTTAGTAAAATGTCTGTATTTTTTGAAAAAAGACAATATTGTGTATTTTGTGATATGTATACCATTACATCCCCTGCCATCGGTGCCAACTCTATTTTTGTAGCATGGCAAAAAAATCATTAAAAAATGAAATGAAACTCCTGTCTGTTTCTTAAAGTCTCCATTAGAAAATTCACTTCAAAAACCTATATAAACAAATTAAATTTGTACTTGTTTCTGTTCACCAATCCAGTGTTATTTTAGTATTATTGAGATACTATAATAGTTTTTATTAATATTTTGAAATGACAGTTTTTATCAGTATTTTGAATTTGTTTTTACTTTTATATATTCCAGTTTCATTTTAGTTCAAGTTGAAGTAATTTTGACAAGATTTTCTTTTTTAAACATGTATAGTTTCATTCTTTTTTGTTCAGTTTATTTAGGTAAAATCATATGAGAAATGTTGCCTTAGCAACTAGCTAAAATAAAAATAAGATTTTATGTTGAATTTTCATTTTAGTTCACTTTTTTAGGGTTTTAGTTTGAGCTATAATAACCCTGTTCATGATTATAGAAGTTTACCAAACACTGACGATTTGCACTTCTGAAAAACATGGAAATGTAAAAAGGGTTTAATATCTCAGCGGCATTGTCATGGATGCACTACTGAAATTCAACTAAAAGGATATTGTGCATATGAACAACTTTTATGCTTTTTTGCAGATTTTTATGAAAAACATCAATATGCATTTGGCATTTCTCTTCTGGGATGGAGGTTATTTTTTGACACATTTCGTTACAGATGCATAGAAATTACAAACTAATTGTTTTTTTGGTTCCTGTGGTGTGACAAACTCATTTTTCCAAAGAACAAATATTGCATGTCATCTATCCAATTACACGAGAAACTGTACTGTAGTCTAATAAATGGCATATTGGGGCAAAGTGATGAAATGACAAAAAACAGCAACCAAAACCAATTACCTCATGATTAGGAGTCAATGAATTATTCAAGCAATGCTGAACACTGAGAAGCAGCACACTGACCACCAGAGGGCAGTACAACACACCAAACCAAACTTACACCAGAAAGCGTGTCACTGTGTTTTCTAACAATAGTTTACATTTGCATATATTTATGACTACTAGTAATAACTAAAAATAGATTATAAGCACAGTTTTCATGCACTGGTCAATTTTGCTTCCACTTCAGTATTATTTATATTCACCACAACTTATTTATTCCTATCTTTTTACTGTGGGGTTTGTTCATGTATCATTCACTTCATATATATTTACCATTTTACTCCTAAAAACATGATTAAAATAAAAAAAATTCTGTTTCCCAATTTACAGAGTGATAAAAAGAGATATGAAAAATCCCTTCAGTAAAAACCTTTAACTAATATATCAACAAAATCAAACAAGAACTTCGAACCTGGCTTTAACCAAAGTTCCGACACATTCTCTTGGAATGTACACAAATTCGTGTCAGAATTTCAGAAAACTTGTAATACGTTATGTCCTGTGGAAAATATGGTAATATCTATTAGCTAAAGTGTAAAATTTTAGTGACTTGTCTGAATTATTACAATAAATGTTACCATTAGTATTAAATACCACAAAACTTTAATTGAGAATGTGCTCAGAAAACGGCAAGAGAAACTACTTAAAACAAATGAATACAAATGTGTCTCTAAACCAATCATGTTATCATTCCCAGCAGTAATGATGTCAAACTCGCCAGCACATGTGATCTTGTGTGTGCGGCTGAGTCAGAGCAGAGCATCACGGGAGGCTCATTATCTGCGTTCACTCTTCCTCACGCTGAGTGATCCATGCTCGGCTCCGAAGGTGTTTGCTGCATCTTCTCTGACTCGGAAGCCAAACTTCACCAGC